CGAAGATATAAACTCGTGCACACACACACACACACACACACACACACACACACACACACACACACACACACACAGAGACAGTTCATCAAATCAATGCTTGACTCAATCACTACATAATCACATATTGATTCTTCTAAGTATTTTTCTACAGCGGCGAATCTCATGAAACATATCAAGAACATGTATAAATCATATTTCACCACGAAATCAAAGAGGAAATACAATAAAATGAAACCTATTTTGAAGGCCAATAATATTTTTTTGCATTCTGACATTTTTAAAAGACATTCCAGCATATTCAACACAAACATTTAGAGGATTTCTACATATTTTATTAATATTTATATAATGTATATTATATTTAAATGATACTATATTTTATAATTGAATTTTTATATTATATTATATTATATTATATACTCCCAATTCTAATTACGGAACATAGTTAGAATGTCCCTAAAATTGAAGATATGGGGCATATGGGTTTGAGTTTTTGTCTCATATTTACATCATATAGTTAAGCAATATCACATGAGCAATTCACTAAGTAAGAAGTTAATAGTGTTATTTTAGACACAATGCTGTCTGTTTTGCTCAATTTTGCCAACGAAAATAGAAAGACGAAGCAGAACTGTTCGTCTCCGAGCAACACGCAGAGGCATTTCATTTCTTAATCCACGTTTTGAAGGAATTGGGTGAACCATTTGGCACGATCGGTCTGATGGTGATGATCCGCTTCAAGTTGAGCAAACCTAATGATTCGATGGACCATTCATAAAGAACCATTTACTTCACTCCTGAATGAATCAGACATTTGAACGAATCAAATGAATGAATGAATGAATGAATGACTTAATCATTAAGACATTTACCACCACCTACTGGCAGTTTTAGTTTATTATTTAGAGTATCATTTCATGAAAGAAATAATTTCATATATCCATAGTAATAATATGAATAATAATAGATTATTAAAAGTATAGTTCACCCGCCCAAAAATTTAAATTTTGTCATCATTTACTATGAGGGTCATGGTCCAAAAGAGTATATGTAATAAATTTTATGTTGAATCAAACTAAATATTTCTTGCTGAAGCTACTTTTTATAATGTCCGTTTGATGCTTTACACAACAATGACTTTAAACTATCTTTTAGGAGCAATTTGTCAGCCAAATTTGATGTCAGATTAATTTGCGATTAATTAGATTAATTAATCGCCACATCATGTAATTAATTAGATTTTAAAAATTGTAATCGCTTACCAGCCCTAACATATATTAGGGGTGTAACGGTACACAAACATGACGGTTCGGTATGTACCTCGGTTTTGACGTCACGGTTTGGTATGTTTCGGTACACATTGCTTTTTTTTTTTTTTTTAAACAACGGTTTACTGAACAAATTGCTCTTTTTAAAAATAAATTAAATTATAATGAAAATTTCCTTAAGGATAAAAGTCTACATCAGCTTCTGCTTTAAACTAAAGGGAGCCCTTTTACATTACTATAAGGTTACAATTAACAACAGAGCCCAAACTTATATTCAATTACTATTTTTTTTAACTACAATAATCAACACTCAAATAAAAAAAAAAATTGTTTTTAAAATAACTTAAAATTGTACAATTTCTATTTGTTTTTGAAATATAATAATTTACAGAGTGGCTGTCATAACTTGTTTTTATAAAATATTTATTTAAACCTACATTAAATAATAAAGACATCACTAACAGGTAAAGTAAAATATGAGTCTATAGTCTAATATTTCGCAAAATGCTCTTCACTAGACTTCACTAGCTGTGTGCCTGAAGTAAATGAAATGCTACGTGACATTTTGTTAACAAGCTGTTTTAATGAGGTCCGCGGTTGAAACACTAATTGAGTGATCATGTGAGAGGTGAGATGTTCGGTGAAATTGATTTATTCATGTATATTTCGCGTGAAAACTAGTAATAAAGAGGGAGGGATGATCAGGCTCACTCGCGCACCGTCAGAACTGAGCCGTTTATACAGCGAGCTGTCGCGCCTCATCAAAGAGCGCCAAAACATTGCCATTTATTGTCTGAATTTCTTGAAAAAATGGAACAACTTGTTCGGTACACATGCGTACCAAACCGAAAGACCCGTGTACCGTTACACCCCTAATATATAGACTCATGGCTGTATTAGATCAAAAGGGTGCTTCTACTAAATAATGAGCAAAGGGTCTGAATACTTAGGACCATGTGATATTTCAGTTTTTCTTTTTTAATAAATCTGCAAAAATGTCAACAATTCTGTGTTTTTCTGTCAATATGGGGTGCTGTGAGTACATTAATGAGGATAAAAAAATTAACTTAAATGATTTTAGCAAATGGCTGCAATATAACAAAGAGTGAAAAATTTAAGGGGGTCTGAATACTTTCCGTACCCACTGTATATATATGCTCCCAAATGAAATGGATAAGAATGAGCTTTTATTTTAAGACTTTGGGGGTACTTAATTACTATTTGAAAAACAAAATTCTTAATGGTCCGTCAAAAATCAAAAACTGTTCCTTTTTATTTCGTGCAGAAACATCTTGGCAGGTTTTTGTGAGATTCAGAGGAATAAACCGGAAGGTTGAACGCACTTACAGCTCAGTTCGATCCGGATGAAGTCTTTGATCCCCAGGTTCTCCAGAAACACTCCCGATGAAGAGCTGGTCTTAAACAGGAAGGAGATATCGGCGCTCAGCTCCCCGTGGAATGTGGGAAAGTGCAGGTACGACGTCTCCTTGTTGAAGTAGGCAGCGTTCCAGAAGTTATCTGGAGAAAACATTTACAGTAGCAGTATTTATATAGTTGGCCTGTGGTTTTCATTAAGCACATGAAATGCCAATCCAGCCAGAGCTGATGTAGCGGCGGTGGGTTTGACAGAATGACAGAGTAAGCGCTCACAGTGTGATTAGTGAGGTACTTACTGTCACCGTAACACTGCAGGGGTCCCACTCTGTAGGCCGCTTCTGAACCAGATCTGTTGATGTCACCCACAGCCAGCGCTCGCACCGGCAAATGCTCTTTATGGGACAGCAGCCCGGAGTCATTCGACCTGTCAAAGAAATCAAAACAGCATGACTGAACACACGAGAACAACACGACTTCACTTCAGGGGTCAATCTCATCAAAACTGTCAAGAACATGGATGATAACATGTCCAGATCAAATTTCACCCGTAAATCAAAAGATCGATTTTTATTTTATTTATTTTTTTTACATTTGCAATCACATTTTCCAATTCCCTTCTGGGTCAAATATGAAATATATATTACAAACATAATTCAATATTTTCGGTCCTTTGACTGTTTTTTTTATTTATTTATTTATTTCATTGCAAGAACATTTTCCAATTCCTAAAGTGGAAAAAAAGCTAAATTAAAAAGATAAGCAATACTGTAAAACCAAATTTATTTATTGCATCAGTGTGGCATCTGTTGTTTTAAATGATATAAATTCATTTTTATAAAATCAAACTATTTTAATTTACGTTCAAAAAGTGTTTGGACAGTAGTTCTGAGTCATGCTTTTTTTTTTTTGCACATTTTCCTATTCTCACAATACAGAAAAAAGAAGTTAAAAACAGAAGCAAAAACTGTAAAAACTTATATTATGGTATACAATAAATAAAAAGGTGGTATTTGTTGTTTGATTTTAATAAAATCAATAAAATATTTCTAATAAAAAAGTGTCTGGACAGAAGTTCTGGGTCAAATATAAAATATTTAATACATAAGCATATTGCAATATTTTCGGTCCTCTGATGATATTCAGTATGTATTTTAATGTTTGTGCATTTTTGTTAAATGACTTAAAGGCACAATGTAAGATATTTTTATTAAAATATCCAAAAACCACTAGAACAGTGTTATATATTTTGCTGAATTACATTATCCCAAATGTTTCGAAGAATGTTTAAATCCAGAGAAATAACCCCTCGATTTCCGAAGACGCTTTAATATGTTGTGCGTTTTATTAGACCGGTGACGACCGCACAGAGTAGCATTATAACAGAACTTTCAAACATATCTAGTATGATAAAAAGCTGCTTTACCCCACATACGCATGACCGGAAGCAGCGGAAGGGGTCGACTGTGGCGTAATAAAAGCTCCGCTGCTTTACCCCACATACACATGACCGGAAGCAGCGGAAGCGCTCGACTGTGGCATAATAAAAGCTCCGCTGCTTTACCCCACATACGCACGACCGGAAGGAGCGGAAGCGGTCGACTGTGGCATAATAAAAGCTCTGCTGCTTTACCCCACATACACATGACCGGAAGCAGCGGAAGCAAGCAGCGGAAGCGGTCGACTGTGGCATAATAAAAGCTCAGCTGCTTTACCCCACATACACACGACCGGAAGGAGCGGAAACGGTCGACTGTGGCATAATAAAATCTCCGCTGTTTTTGAGCCGTGTGTCGTGCTCGTTCAGTGGCCTCGTTTCGGTTCGACGGCTTTCAACCTCACCCTGCTTCATTCTACTACGTTAATAATTCATTAGCTCATCCATGAACATGATTTCTGCCCGAGTCCCATCGGATTGCGTCGGCTGTGGGGATGAAGACCACAACTCCCATGATTCCACACTCAGTCACAGCGTTGTCAAACTACGCCTTTGTCTATTTGTTTATTTTAAATACGCGCCCTCCAGCGGCTAAAATGACATATTGTGCCTTTAAGAGAGTGATCAGTTCAACTAAACAGACATTGTTGAATTTGGATTTAAAAATGCATCGTCAAATCAGAGATTTGAATCAATTCACTGAATCAGAATGATTCATTTGATTAAGCTGATTCTGATAAATGAATCAAATCTACCAAGCCTTATGCTGTTTGTTGCATCTGAAGTTTAAATGAGACCGATTCTTACTGTTTGAAAGACGAAAACATCTCAATGAATTACAGTTTTAAGAATTCAGAGGGTTTGAATGTCTGCAACTGTCATGAAAACAATGCTACAATGCACAAAAACATCTCAATGTTCCTGAAAGTAGGCTTCATTTTCTTTAAACAAATGTGGTTTGGGGTTATAATATGAGCTGGACGTGCTGCTGATAGTCATGTGAGTGTGTCGTACCACTCTTTGCTGTCGGCGTCACAGTTGCAGAAGTGTTCGGGATGCACACAGTTCTCCTGCAGGCCACAGGCGCACTGCTGACTGCCTGGCACCGCGCCGCCCCAGTACATGTGCGCCTCACCCGACTGGCCCACCCACCAGCTGAATGGAGCGCCGTCTGCAATAAAACACACACACAGCGCTCATCATCAGACTGACACAACTGCGCTACACTATCACACTGAGATGATGGAAAACAAACAGGCTTTCATAACTAATACGACTGAGATTTTAGTAACTTTTCCATTACCAATGAATCAGTTGATCAGATCATTTGACCCTGAATTTGATGAGAAATGTAGATCTTGGTAGATCTGAGCACAGTTTGGGACATTTTGAGATGATGTGTAAGATTAGGTATTTTTCTTATGAGAAATATTTAAGAAGCAGAAAATTAGATGTTTCTACTAAAGTTCCGGAAACATAAATTAAAATAGACACAAACAAGTCAATAGTTCACATCATTTGACCCCAAATTTGATGATCTCTGGTTTTTGGTTGCACACTTTGGGGTCTTGGCAAATCTGATCATAATTTGAGACATTGTGGGATGATGTGTGAGATTACTACGGTCTTTTTCTTGTGTGAAGCTGTAAATGAGATGTTTCTACTGAAGTTCCTCAAAAGAATTAAGAACAGACACAAATGAGTCAATAGTTCAGATTATTTCACCCTGAATTTAATGAAAAATATTTGAGTTTATACTGAGTTCTGGTTACACACTTTGGGATCTGGGCAAATCTGAGCACATTTTGAGACATTTAGAGAATACTGGAGTCTTTTTCTCATGAGAAACATATGAGAAACAAAAAATTAAAAGTTTCTGCTGAAGTTACTCAAAAGAAAAAAAAAACAGACACAAATTGGGTCAATAATTGAAATCATTCGATCCTGAATTTGATTAGAAATAAGATTACTGGGGTATTTTACTCATGAGAAACAACCGAGAATCAGCAAATGAGATGTGTTTTTTTTTTACCAAGTTTCATCAAAAGAAATAAAAAGACAAATAATGGTTGCAGACTTTGGGGTCTTTGTAGATCTGAGTATAGTTTGAGACATTTTGAGATAATGTGTGAGATTACTAATGTCTTTTTCTCATGAGAAATATTTGAGAAGCAGAAAATTAGATGTTTCTACTAAAGTTCCTCAGAAGAAATCCGAACAGACACAAAAGAGTCAATAATTCTGATAATTTGATCCTGAATTTGATGAGAAATGTTTGCGTACATATTAAACTCTTTGAGTTTTAGTTGCGGACTTTGGGATCTTGGCAAATCTGAGCACAATTTGAGACATTTTAAGACGATGAGTGAGACTCCTGGGGTATTCTTGTCATGACAAACATCTGAGAAGGAGGACATGAGATGTTTCTACTGAAGCTCTTCAAAAGAAATGTTTGAGTTTTCTGGCTTTTGACTCCAGACTTGGGGATCTTGGCAAATCTGAGATCTCCAAAAGATGTATAAAATTACTGGGATCTTTTTCTCATGAGAAACATCTGAGAAGCTGGAAATGATGTTTCTACAGACACACACACACACAAAAAAAACATTTTAGGTCATTTGACTCTGAATTTGATGAGAAATGTTTGAGATCGCTGACTTTTTGTTGTAGACTTTGGCAAATCTGAACAAAATTTGAGACATTTTGAGATAATGTGTGAGATTATGCGGATCTTCTCATGAGAAACACCTGAGAAGCAGGATGCGAGATGTTTCTACAGTTCCTCAAAAGAAATAAAGATAGACACAAAAGAGTCAATAGTTCAGATCAACCGGTCCTGAATTTGATGAGAAAGGTTTTAGCTTAAAAAGAGATATTTTTGTGATCTTGACAAATATGAGCACAATTTGAGACATTTTGAGATGATATGTGAAATTACTGGTCTTTTTCTCATACGAAACATCTGAGAAGCAGAACACGTCTCTATTTACTGTGCTTTTAATCTCATTGCTGTCTAAGAGAAAGCATTAAGATGTTAAAGAGATCTCATGAGTGATTTTCCATCAGTCTCGCATGCATCTGTCCAGGTTTAATCGTTCTTTTCATTACTATTCATCTGACAATTCCAACATTTCTTATTTACGCCTGACACTGTTCTCCTCGTCTCATCAAGAACTCTGGTAATGTGACAACTAATGGAGGTAATTAACATGTGCTCGGATGTTTCGTGTTTATTTGTGAGACTACGAGAACTGTTATTACCCACCTTGACCTGTGATAGACACCGAACCAAACCGCCAATGACAAACCCACACAAACAAACATGATAAAAGCTCTTTAAAGGTGCAAATGCACATAATTAATCCACTCTAAAGGTGACTTTCAATTAATTTAATGCAGAAAAAAAAAAGCGGGGAAATAACTGAGCTGTCCGTAACCAAGAGCATAACAATCAATTTGAGTCGTTTGCTTAAGCGTCATGCGTCTGCAGATGGAGCGAGGTTTTAATAAGCCTGACCTTTCATAGGGAGGGGCGATCGATATTCCTAATAAAAAGGGCTTACCTGGTGTGTTCAAGAGCCGTGACTTTTTGCAGTGGTAGGAGAGCTCCTGCTCGCAGTACTCCGCCTGGGTAATTATTGCCTGGATCTGCTCTGCGTCGGCAGAATAGTTAAAGTGGGCTAAATGCTGATCTATCCCAGAGGACGCTTTTAATTTGGTGAGCTCCGTGTTATTATGTTGGATCACCATCCATGCTTTATCTGCAGGGAAATGAGGGCGAAAATGACACACTATGTTTTAGCTCAGAGCGCTGTCGATTTCACCTGTGCAACAGTCAATTGTCCTTCAAAAAGTCATAGAACATTCATAAAAAAAAAAAAAACCTTAAGCATGTGATATATACTAAACAATCATAAAAATAAAGGTTCCTGGGTTCAAAGAATAGTTATAAAGAACCATTTTCGAATTCAAAATATTAATAAATACTGTAATAATGTAAACACACAGCAATAATATTTACATTAGGTACAATTTAAATGGAAACTGAAAATACAAAAATAACTAATTCAAAATATAACATTTACATTTAGTCATTTAGCAGACGCTTTTATCCAAAGCGACTTACAAATGAGTAATATTAATAAATTAACAAATTAACAAATATTAATACTATAACAGTATTGTCACACCTCATGGACTTGTTTTGTTGTGTTTTCTTCCCCCATGTGCTCTGTTTGACCTAGTTTCTGTCTCTGTTTGATTATGTCATTTGGTTCAGGTGTGTCTGGTTAATTATCTTCATTTGCTCCCGTATTTAAAGTGTAGTCTGTCCTGTCTTCCTTTGACCAGTGTTGTTGACGTTACCCTGTGTTAGACCCTCTTCTTCAATCATAAAAATAAAGGTTCCTGGGTTCAAAGAATAGTTATAAAGAACCATTTTCGAATTCAAAATATTAATAAATACTGTAATAATGTAAACACACAGCAATAATATTTACATTAGGTACAATTTAAATGGAAACTGAAAATACAAAAATAACTCATTCAAAATATAACATTTACATTTAGTCATTTAGCAGACGCTTTTATCCAAAGCGACTTACAAATGAGTAATATTAATAAATTAACAAATTAACAAATATTAATACTATAACAGTATTGTCACACCTCATGGACTTGTTTTGTTGTGTTTTCTTCCCCCATGTGCTCTGTTTGACCTAGTTTCTGTCTCTGTTTGATTATGTCATTTGGTTCAGGTGTGTCTGGTTAATTATCTTCATTTGCTCCCGTATTTAAAGTGTAGTCTGTCCTGTCTTCCTTTGACCAGTGTTGTTGACGTTACCCTGTGTTAGACCCTCTTCTTCATGTGAATTACCATTAAAAGGATTTGTTGTTATAGTTTTCGTCTCCCTAACAGCAGTAGCGTGACAGAATACTGGACCACAAAGAATTAGTCCTCGTTTTATTTTCCGTTTTTGTCAGTTTTTATTTTTAGTTATGGATATCGCCGACCTATTCATCGTCAAGACCTTCCCCTTTTGGACTATGCTGTTGAGTTCAGTCAGCTCGCCATTTTAACAGCTTTCGACGACGCATCGCTGAACTCACTGTTCTGGATCGGGGCTAATCACCATCGGCCCGTTGACCTCCCAGACACCACCAGACTGTGCTGGAGGGAGGCAATCATCCGGTGTCTGGAGAGCGTCTACCCCCGATCCAGAACACAGCCAGACCACCATCACTCTGTCCCGGACTCCACCTCAGTCCTTCGATCCAGCGGCTCCACCATGGCTCCTAGCTCCCTCATCTCCACCGTGGCCCGTCAGTACACCAGCTCCGCCGGGCTCCCCCGTCCCTCTGGCTCTGCCTTGGTCTGTCGTCGACCATCCACCACCTTGGGACTCCACTCCTCCGGCTACACCTCAACCCTCCGTCCTTCCGGCTCTGTCAGGCTCCTCCTTCCCTTCGGCTCCTCCTCAGTCCTCTGTCACTCCGGCTCCACCGCGGCCTTCTGGTTCCCCGCCATCTGCTCCGCCTTGGCCCTCCGGATTCTCCCCGTTGCCCTGGCTCATCGACTCTCTGTCTCTGCCTCGGGCCCACTCGGCCACCTGCTCCGCCACAGTCGGTTGGCCCCATGGAGTCGTCAGCCCTTCCTCCTCCGTCGGCTCCTCCCTCCGTCGGCTCCAGTGTGGGTCGTTATCATGGCTGTGGCCTGGGTCCCCCCTGGCACTGCCTGCTCCAAGTCCCTCCTGTCTCCGCCCTGGCTCCTCCCTCCTTCATCACCTCCCTGGACTCTGTCTGCTGGCTTCCTCCCGGGTGTCCGTCTTCCTCCTGAGCCTCCTCCCAAGTTCCCTCCCTCTGTTGTTTCTACAGCGAGAGGACGTGCCTTCTAGGAGGGGGGCGAAATGTCAGACCTGTGCTCCCTGTAACCCAGTTTCTCCCTCACGTTGATTGTTCATTGATGGCAGGTGTGTCTCATCTTGTCCCTCGTTATCCTGTGTATTTAGCCCCAGTCTGTGCAGTCGGTGTTTGTCGGGTCTACATGTTGGATTGAGTGTGTTTACCCCTGTTCCTGATGTGTATTTACCCCTGTGATTCTCTAATTAAATACCGTTTATTTTATCCCCGTCTCCATTGTTTCTTCCAGCAGTGAATCGTGACAACATGTTTAAAAGTTGCCTTTTTCTTCATTAATATTTAACCGGATTTAAATGTTATAAGTTACCTTTCAGGCTTCAAGGAATGACTAGTTTTTTACTAACTCAACAGTTATTTCAGTGTATGGAATAATTGCTTTCAGTGTTGCATTTATCTCCACAAAGTATATCAGACTGTGCTGGAGGGAGGCAATCATCCGGTGTCTGGAGAGCGTCTACCCCCGATCCAGAACACAGCCAGACCACCATCACTCTGTCCCGGACTCCACCTCAGTCCTTCGATCCAGCGGCTCCACCATGGCTCCTAGCTCCCTCATCTCCACCGTGGCCCGTCAGTACACCAGCTCCGCCGGGCTCCCCCGTCCCTCCGGCTCTGCCTTGGTCTGTCGTCGACCATCCACCACCTTGGGACTCCACTCCTCCGGCTACACCTCAACCCTCCGTCCTTCCGGCTCTGTCAGGCTCCTCCTTCCCTCCGGCTCCTCCTCAGTCCTCTGTCGCTCCGGCTCCCCCGCAGCCTTCCGGATCCCCGTCTCCGCCTTGGTCGCTGGCGCCATCTGCTCCACCCTGGCTCCTCCTGTCTTCTGCTTGGCTCCTCCCTCCATCTGATCCACCCTGGCTCCTCCTGTCTTCTGCCTGGCTCCTCCCTCCATCTGATCCACCCTGGCTCCTCCTGTCTTCTGCCTGGCTAGGCCCCTCGTTTTATTTTCCCTTTTTGTCCGTTTTTATTTTTAGTTATGGATATCGCCGACCTATTCATCGTCCTAGCCCATCAAGACCTTCCCCTTTTGGACTATGCTGTTGAGTTCAGCCAGCTCGCCGTTTTAACAGCTTTCGACGACGCATCGCTGAACTCACTGTTCTGGATCGGGGCTAATCACCATCGGCCCGTTGACCTCCCAGACACCACCAGACTGTGCTGGAGGGAGGCAATCATCCGGTGTCTGGAGAGCGTCTACCCCCGATCCAGAACACAGCCAGACCACCATCATTCTGTCCCGGACTCCACCTCAGCCCTTCGATCCAGCGGCTCCACCATGGCTCCTAGCTCCCTCATCTCCACCGTGGCCCGTCAGTACACCAGCTCCGCCGGGCTCCCCCGTCCCTCCGGCTCTGCCTTGGTCTGTCGTCGACCATCCACCACCTTGGGACTCCACTCCTCCGGCTACACCTCAACCCTCCGTCCTTCCGGCTCTGTCAGGCTCCTCCTTCCGGATCCCCGTCTCCGCCTTGGTCGCTGGCGCCATCTGCTCCACCCTGGCTCCTCCTGTCTTCTGCCTGGCTCCTCCCTCCATCTGCTCCACCCTGGCTCCTCCTGTCTTCTGCCTGGCTCCTCCCTCCATCTGATCCACCCTGGCTCCTCCTGTCTTCTGCCTGGCTCCTCCCTCCATCTGATCCACCCTGGCTCCTCCTGTCTTCTGCCTGGCTCCTCCCTCCATCTGATCCACCCTGGCCTCTTCTGTCTCCTCCCTGGATCCTCCCTCCATTGGACCACTCTGTTGGTCGTCCTCCTCCAGGTCATCCGGCCACCTCCTGAACCTCCTCCTGCCTCCCTGCCGGCCCTTTGCCATCCACTGTCACCATCCCACATCCACTCCTTGTCCCCCTCCGTCCCTCCCTTTATCTCTGTGAAAAGGGATAAAGTGGCGCGAGGTGATGCCTTCGGGGAGGGGGGCCAACTATCACACCTCATGGACCTGTTTTGTTGTGTTTTCTTCCACCATGTGCTCTGTTTGACCTAGTTTCTGTCTCCGTTTGATTATGTAAAATAACACTGATGTGAAATAGGATACTGAATGAGAAAATATATATACAGTATATATATATATATATATATATATATATATATATGTAACCATGGGGAACTAATTGGATGAAGAAGGAAAGTAATTTTAGAGAATGTTAGGAAGAAATACAAGACAAATACTTTTTAGAATTTAAACAATAAGTCTAGCAATACATCTAGCAATGTGTATTAAGAAAGTCAATAGAGTCAATTTGGATTTCATATTGACTTTAACAAAGGAGAAGTGAGGATCTATCAAAGGTGACGTGATGCTTTTCTAAAGAGCCATTCAACTTCAAAAGCTTCTTCTGTGACATCAGGCCGTAAAAGCCTTTCAAAACTTTATTTGTGAACGTGAACACAGACGGGCTCAAAGGTTGATCTGTCGGCTTCTTCTAAAGTGTGTTTTTCAGCGAGTGTCACAGCTGACTTCCTCCGCGGGGTGTGACATGGTGCGTGAAGGATCAAAAGCTGTGGATTAAAGTCCCAATTACGTAGTGTTTAAAGGGATTTAATCACTTCGGCTTCGCTGCGTGAGATTCACCTGACATGTTGCAGTAGATTAGCTGAGGTTTGATGGGGCCGCTTCCATCCACGTCGATGTAGTAAAAGCCAGACGTGTTTCCTTTGTGTTTGTACGCCTCACACGATGCTTCATAAATGGCTGTAAACACAGAAGCAGTAGGTTAGTGTGGAGAGATAAGGAGATGAAGCTGTTTACGTTCAACACTGTGAATAATAACAGTAATGTACTTAAATGAGTGTGCATTCACACTTTCTGTCTACGCATAAAGTTGAGATCTGTTCACGCAACAACGTGTGAAAATGCAGCTCACATAACAACGTTGCTTTTTGTTTTCACACCCTGTAAAAATGTTATTACATCTTAAACAGGATGGTGAGATGGTTTTGATTCCAGTACTTGAGATACTTTAAATGATCTGGAGAATCTTCAGGACTTTTAGAAAATATATTTAGTTACAACCTGCTACCAAAAATGAAGCCATGATCTTTCCAGGAAAGATAGTACAGGTGAATGGGTAAAAAATTCATAATAATAGTATATCACCATATTTACCCAGTTGATCAACTACAGTAAATTAAGAAAAAAATGTTTGTATTACAAGTTTTCTGAAATGTTATGTTTAAATATGCGGCATTGTGTAGTAAAAATGCACTAATTCGCATACATTTCCAGAAGATAAATCTGAACGATGGTTAAAGCCAGGTTCAACATTCTTGTTTAATTTTGTTGACATATTGGAGTTAAAGATTTTTACAGAGGGGATTTTGGATTTCTCTTTTTATAACTCCATAAATCATGAAATACTGTCAACAGTCAGAAAATAATCGTTTCACCATGTTTTAGGATTAAAATGTTAAATATTTATCAGTTGAGTGATATATGAACAAATCCTTCAGTAAAAACCTTCAGAATATAGACACAAACTAATTTTGAAAAAGCGATCATATATACAGTATATATATATATATATATATTAGGGATGTGCATCTCATGACTCAGGCTGATACGATACGCATCTCGATGCATAGCCAACGATACGATACATTAAAGATACATATGAAGCAGCTACCGATGCGATGCGATACGATTCACCTCTATTACGATGCAATGTGATCCGTTTTCGATTCGATTCGATTCAACACAATGCGATTCGATGCAATGGAGAAAATATGATCACTTTTAATGCCTCGAGGCCTGTTTCATAAAACAAGTTAACCAAATAAGCCAGGCTTATTTCAGTTAGTCTGACTCATTGTCAAATGATTTGGTTCCATAAAGCAAACTTAACATAGGCCTAGATCAAGCTTAGTCACTGTGGCAACTTATGCTGGGAAACTAACCTGGTCTAAAGCAGGCTAACTGTCAGGCTAAGCTAAGCTCCTCTACTGACCAATAGGAACATAATGATGAACATGAACTCACTTCATTATGCCACCGATCACATTATATGTTCTAATTGTGTTACATTGGAGATTGAACTTGCTGCAACTTTTTTCTCTTTGGCTCACATTCATTTTCAGAAATTTTCCTGAAGCTTTGCATTCAGAGGCAAATGATGAAAATCATATTTTGTCCACTTAATTTTGCATGGCATATTTGTGAAATTAAACCTCCCAGTGTATTTGTATTATAAAATGAAGGAAGTGTTTCATCTGGAGTGTGCTGCCATCAATTTTGCATGCGCTCAGGCAAACGAAGCAGCTTTAATTATGACCATCTGCATCTGTTTCGTAGCTCTGAATTCATGATGTAACACAAACGGGGGAAGTTAACTATCTATTAAGGTGCTTAGGGAGGAAATGGATTACTGTAGCTTTCACTTTCAAGGAAAATAATTACAATCTATATGCAATCTGTTTCATACTTCAAACGCATGAGACTGAAGAGTATTATTTTTGTGGACAGATTTGAGATTAAGAGAACTAATAAAGCTTCATAACAACCTGATTGCAAGCCCAGAATAGTAATTAAAATTTATATATATATATATATATATATATATATATATATATACACACAAAAAAAATTATTGTTTGCTTGTTTGTTTCCTTTTAATTGATACTCTGGTTATATATTTTTCCTTGAAAGCAAAACAAGACTAATCAGTTTCTATTATGTATAATTGTGTATACAAGACATGCAGATAGAAGATTTATATGGACAGATTTGAGATTATGAGAACTAATAAAGCTTTATTATAACCTGATCACAAGCCTAGCAATTAAAATAAAAAATATATAATTTTAATATGTAATATGTACTTTAATTAAAAAATATATATGTATATTTCCCTCCATGTATTATTATGAAAGCATAATAATAATAATAATAATTATTATTATTATTATATTTTCTATTTATTTATTTAATATCCATATATCTATATTTATGTTTTAAGCACCTGCAGAAAACATTACTCAGTTTCAATTTCAATTTTGTCAACATCAGAACCCCATTAAAACCATATAAATATATAAAACAGTGAAAGTTAAGCTACAGTGCTGCAGAAATGCCCTTTGATTTTTAAACCTCAAACGCTCCTCTGACTGACAGCAGCTTTATGTGAGATCTAATTATGGGGCGGCTCTATAAAGTCCCTCTTAATAATGCTCACCTTTTAAAACAGCTCAAGTGTGAACGTCTTAAATGCTGCCGCCATTAACCATTTGAGTGACGTGTGCTTCATTTCAGCCCAAATCTGTTCCACTCTCTTTTACGGCACCAAAAGGGCCTTTTACGGCACCAAAAGCGGGCCTTTTCACTTCATTGATGACTGTGTAAATCCATAAGCGTGTAAAGCTGGAGCTCTGCAGCTAATGAGCGCCTGACCTTGCGTCATTTTTATATTGTTTCCTTACAGGCCTCATATCATGAGGAATTCAATTTGCCTTGATGTTCTGGGATAAAAGTGCTCAATATGCAATGAAAATATATATGCTTCAGAACGCAATAGATATTAAAACTACTATAGGCTGCAAAATGACATCTGCAAACTTATGCAATTAATGATAAACACATCCACACATAATCAAGTATGATCCATACAGAGCATTTCACTTGCATTTGCAACTCCAAATAGATGTGTGCAAACTGTAAAATGCATTTATGCATTTATATCATTTTAGGATATCTTAAATTTTCATGTGGAAAAACAGGAATTACTGTACAGCCTAATATGATTATTAAGCCTCAAAAGTCTTTGATTTAATTCAATAAATATGAGCACGGCGCTGTTGCACACTCGAAAGGGTTGCAGTTTCAGATCAGTTTGCAATCATTTATAACAAACAATTACTTATGGTCGACTGTTGATGAATTATGACAAGGTTTACTTTATGGTGTTTATATTGTAATATCACTGTAACTGAGTTTTATCCAGCTTTGCTGCAGCATGGAACAATCTGCTGGTTCGTTTCGTCTGCCTGAGCCTTGTTTTTTCTCCATTCTGTCACCGATGGAGTTTTGGTTCCTCTGGCTTGCTTAGTTGGGGACACTTAATTTCCAGCGATATGGTCGACTTGATTGCACAGATGCTATTTAAACTGAACTGAGTTGGATGATGATATCACAGAATTCAATAATGAACTGCCTTTAATTGAGTGTTTACTATTGTCCTTTTGCGTTGACACGCTATTTTCCTATTTGATACTTGTTACAAGCTCTATATAAATAAAGGTGACTTGACTTGACTAATCATAAACAGTGGTCAAATAGTGAAGTTTAGGGAACATCATGTGGAAGCAGTAACTATTCTCTCTGCGTTTGTCTCCTGATCTGTCCTTGACTCTGAGTGTGGAAGGAATCAGTGCACAGGAAGCGTTTGAAGTGCGTGCAGGAAGTGGTCTGTATTTCAGAAGCGTTCTTACAGCTGTGGCAGGTCGCTCCGCTGTAGCCCGTGGCAGAACAGTTGCAGTGAAACGTGCTCCACGACTGCGAGCATCTCCCTCCGTGTTCACAGCGACTCGGGGAGCATCTGGTGGAAAAAAACAAGACATATAATATTTGATGTTTGATCTCAAGGACAATCAGATACAGAGAAGCGCAATCATTCAGCATTACACATGCAGCCTTTGTAGACAGTTTGTGCGGAGTGAAAACCTTGCTGTTGGCTTTATCTGATCCTGGAGTGGGAAACAGTGACTTTTAACGGTGCACTTTTAGTGACATATAGGAGGAATTCTGACAGTATGAGAGTCGCATGTAAATCACAGGCAATATGGAAGCTTATTTCCACCATGGAATAAAAAAATGGTCATTTCAACATTTTTATCTCACAACTCTCTTTATCTCTCACAATTCAGACTTTTATTCTTAGATTGTGAGATAAAAAGACAGGTTACACTTTATTACAAGGTGTCCTTGTTACAGTGTAATTATACATACAAGTACTGAGTAATATTAATCAACTACATGTACAAACTATAGGGTTAGTGTTAGGATGAGGGTTTGGTTTAGGGTTAGTTGCATGGAATTATGCATAATGTATTGTTATTACAATAGTAAGTACATGCAATGTGTAACAAGGACACCGTAAAATAAAGTGTTACCTAAAGAGAAAATCAAATGATGTGCAACAGGACACATTAGACTAACAGGACATTATTTGATAGAAGAAATTACCATCATTGTGCTTTGAAGTACGCAAATCAATATTGAATATGAATTAATCAAATAATGACTTAAATTTGGGACAAAGCCATCACTTTGGAAGATCAAAGTGGATCAAAAATGTAATTTACATAACTTGTAAAGCACCCTGATGCTAACCAATCATAATCATAATCAAGTCTACTTCATTATTATAATCAGAGATCTATATGTACTGTACATAAAGAAGTCTTAAACAATGAAAAGCAAACAGCCTCTTTAATTCAGAGAGAAGCTGAAAAATAAGCATAGAATTAGCACAAAACTCCATTTGCAAAACTCCAAAAAGAAATGAATTTTTTTATTTAGTGATTTCTGCATGTAACAGTTTGACTTCATTTACATAAAGAAGTCTTAAATATAAAGACACCGAAAGCCGGTAATTCAGAGGGAGGGTGAAAAATATGCATGAAAAATTTCACTTAGTCATAAGTTCACATACACCTGTTCACAGAATCTGCAAATTAATAATAATAAAAAAAAAACGAGGGATCATAAAAATTGCATGTTGCTTTTTTATTTAGCACTGCCCTGAAAAACTATCAATTTTTTTATTTAGTGATTTCTGCATGTAACAGTTTGACTTCATTTACATAAAGAAGTCTTAAATATAAAGACACCGAAAGCCGGTAATTCAGAGGGAGGGTGAAAAATATGCATGAAAAATTTCACTTAGTCATAAGTTCACATACACCTCACAGAATCTGCAAATTAATAATAATTTTAAAAAAAACGAGGGATCATAAAAATTGCATGTTGCTTTTTTATTTAGCACTGCCCTGAAAAACTATCAGTTAAACTATTACGCTTTAATTATTAACATTTTGCAGGGTTTATGTAATCTTATATATGTTTTTGGTGCAAAAACCCTGGACTAACACGTCTGATGACTTCCTGAAATAACAACAGTGCTGATTTGAGGACTCGTTCCTGCACAAACGCCATAGGACGACGCACACGCTGAACTTTAATACGTCGTGTTAGAGGTTTCATCACACCATTAACCTCAAGATTGACTTAGCAAACACCACTAATAATCATTTATGCCACAACACCTTGATTTAGAAACTAATAATGTTTTGCTGAGAGCAAAGCAAAGTTAACCGCTTCGACCACAAACACCTTCCAATTTCTCTCTATAAAGCGAATCTTTTCTAGTCATCTCACAATGCCCTTGCCTGAGCCGAAAAACAATTCCCAGCCTCTCCCGACTCTCACGGGATGATTTGCATGCTCGCGTTACCAGCGCTCGCTTTACAGTCTACATCTTTCACCAGATTTCCATTTGTGGCCACAATGATGGTCTAAGAGGATCCGTTCAAACACTCTTTGTGCTTTCGGTGGTCGGGACAGATCCACTCTCCGCTCCGGTTTCACGCTTTGTAGCTTCATAATCGGAACAGGATCGAGTGCGTCTTTCATTCTGCTCAAAATGACACTTCAAACCAAGGGAAAAAAAACCCAAACCACACTTTTTGGCTCGCGTACGCTGATGGCATACTGAGAGCCCTGTTTCTTTGTTGGCTGCAATCCCATCAGAGCTTTGCAGGCCCGTCGCAGGGACACAAGCGAACCGAGGCGGTCGCCTTCACACAGGCCGCGGCGCAGCCGGACTCCACTGTTCTCCTGTAATCTGCCCCCGCGAGTAATGATCAGACTGACACAGACACCGAGAGAGAAACACACAGAAAGGATAAACGCAAGCACGACTTGCCAAACAGTTGTGTTTTCTCTGATGAGACGAGCAGAGATGAATAAACACGAATCACAAACAAAAGATGCAAAAGTCTATAAATGAAGACTTCAAATGGGAAACTATAGTTCACTTATACACTACTGTTCAACAGTTTGGGTTTTTTGTATCTTCTGCTCACGAGAGCTGCATTTATTTGATCAAAAATACAGAAAAAGCTGTAAAATTGTGAAATATTATTACAACTTAAAATAACAGTTTTTTTATGTGAATATATGCTAAAATGTAATTTATTCCTCTTAATCAAAGCTGAATTTTCAGCATCATTACTCCAGTCTTCAGTGTCACATGATCCTTCAGAATCACTGCTGCTTAATAAATATTTCTGATTATTATCAATGTTGAAAACAGTGCCATTTTTGTGGAAACCATGGTATATTTGATTTTTTTGAAGTTTAAAAACCACATTTATTTGAAATTGAAATCTTTTGCAACATTATAATTGTCTGTACTGTCACTTCCGATCAATTTAATACATCCTTGCTGAATACAAATATTAATTTTTAATTATTAATTTCTTTTTGAATGGAAGTGTAATGTTAGTCAAGCTTTATTGCAGTGCAAACCATTTTATAACTTCTCTACGATGCTTAGGAGAGAAACAAGTACACAAACAAAATGTGTTAGAGCAAGCTATTAAATTTTCATGAAAGATTATAAAGGCAAACATTATTTTTACAATAACATGCACTGATTTCACAATAAGACCAGCAGCATGTCTAAATAAAGTAAACAGGGTCAAATTTCAATCCATGTTGACTTTAAATAAAATTGGACAGATGTTTTTTAAGAAATGAGGTCTTGGCTAATGAATACAGGTCGACATATGGGAGAATGATATTCCACTAGTGTCACGAATTCGGTCCATGGACTTCTGTTTATTCACCACCAGAGGTCACCCTTTCCATTACATTGACTCTCGCACAACACAAACTGTTGCATAGCACCCCGGACTACATATCCCATCATTCTTTGCACGATTTGCACACTGCACTGATTGCACTCATTGCACACAGCTGTTTCTAATCACCTCACTCACTATATAACACCCACTCTAACCACCTTTCTCTGCGTGTTTGGGCTGCATACACCTCCACAGAACTCCCAGAGGCGGCAGCATCCTCTATCGGGTCTCCAGAGTCGGTGGCTGAAGCTACAGTATCTCCTGAGGTAGTGGTGCTCGCTGCTGTGTATTTTGCCCGCCATATACCTGTTTGCCATTGTTTGACCCTGCCTGTTTACCACTTCTCTTGAATAAAGCCTGCAGATGGATCCACACATCTAACGTCTCGTCAGCCCCGTCACAACTAGCATCTCAGCCTGAAGGACACATCAACTGGGAAACTGGAGATGACATAGAAATTATGAGAAACAAGATCAAGATTTCACTGAAAAAACAAATCCTGTCTGAACCTGACAACAAAACACAACTAGTAGTATAAGTGTAGAAACTTAAAGGTAAACAGTTTAACTCAAGATGTCTGTGTTCTGCATTCCATCTTCTGCAAGAGAAAACTAATCACAATTCAGTAATTTGCATATTGAATTATGATTGCTTTTCTAATGCAGAAGATAGAAACATGCAAGAAAGAAACCCAAATATATAATTCAAATTACCACTGTGACATCATGGCTGTCAGTTACATTTGGAATCTCAAACATTCTATAAATCTACATCAATGGGAGATTTTCAAAAAACGGAATTTAAAGGTAACATCTATTTCCTGAACAGACTTTCAGTCTTAAATAGTATAAATTTTGCAAAAACAAACAAAAATTACCAACAAAACATAGTTCGAAAGGAG